GTGGGCGCCGCAGGCATCCCCAGCAACCTCACTATCCACAGGCCAGACCAGCACACCTCCCAACACATTAAGATAAATGTTGGGTGTATGTTGCTATAATTTAAAGAAAAGCAACAAAAAACCTCCCCAAACAATAAAACCCAGGACCAGATGGCCTCACTGGTGACTTCTAACAAATAATTAAAGAACTTATGTGACGGTTCTCAAACTCTTCCACAAACTGAAGAGGAGGGAGGAGTCCCTAATGCCAGGACTGTCCCAAATCAAAGCCAGATAAACATCACCAGGAAGGAAAGTACAGGCCAAATCCCCGTGAACACAGATGCGAAGTCCTCACTCAAGTACGAAGGCACCGAATCCTGCAGCACATTAAAAAGACGATGCCTGCCCTGGCATCAGTGCCCTCTACCCATCTCAGTGGGTAGAGCGTCAGCCTGAAGACTGAAGGATCCTGGGTTCGATTCCGGTCAAGGGCACATGCCCTGGCTGCGGGCCCGATCCCCAGTGCGGGGTGTGCAGGAGGCAGCCAGTCAATGATTCTCTCTCATCACTGACGTTTCTTTCTTTCTTTATTTTTTTTAATTGATTTCAGAGAAGAAGGAAGAGGGAGGGAGAGAGATAGAAACATCAATGATGAGAGAGAATCATTAACCATCTGCCTCCTGCTCGCCCCCAACTGGGAATCAAGCCCACAACCCCAGCATGTGCCCTTGCCCGGAATCGAACCTGGGACTCTTCAGTCCGTAGCTCAACACTTTATCCACTGAGCCAAACCGGCTAGGGCATCACTGATGTTTCTCTCTCTCTCCCTCTTCCTTCCTCTCTGAAATCAATAAAAATATTTTTAAAAAGACGATGTGCCACGATGAAGGGGTTCATCTCAGGAATGCAAGGACAGTGCACACGGAAATCCATCGCTGTAACGCGCAGTCAGAACGAATGAGAGCAACGAACATCTTACTCTTGTTCCATCTGTAAAGGACGTTAATAGATGAGCAGTTTTGGGGACTGAAATGAGAATGCATCCTGCCGTTGCCACAGAGCGGCTGCAGGCCCACCGGCCTGGTGCTGGGGCTGAGGCCATCCACTCCCCACACCGGCCTCCTCCTGCCCTGTGGCGTGCTTGGGCAGTGCCAGCCACCAGCCCTGTGCTGGCGCAGTGACCGTGTGCCAGCACCCCTTACCTGGCAGAGGGGAAACGTGGCAGACATGACCCCAATCAAGACGTTCAGCACATCCTTCACCAGCTCGCACTCCTGCACCAGCACGGACGGCGCGGCCTGCAGGAGGCCCCCGCCCAGCACCTGCAGCTCTCCCCGGCACAGCCTGCAGAAGCTGTCGAAGGCGTCCCTTCCCGCCTCCGTGAGGTAGGGCTCTTCTCTGTGGCCGGGGGGGCTGTGGAGACAGAGCCACGGGCACCTCAACTACACGAACAAAAGGCAGGAGGAAGTGACTCAATACAACACAGAGCAGGGGGTGGTGTCCGACCGGCCACCAGCCTCTCCCTCAGCTCTGGGCTCAGCACCGACTGCGCTGGGTCCAGACAATCCACACGAGTCCCACCCAGCACCCACTGGGCCCACACGATGGTCCTCAGGACGACCGACACTCATATTGTCGCTTTATCTGAAAAACAGGCACAAGGCTTACACACCGTGTGCACAGCAGCACATTCGCAACAGCCCAAAGGGGGAAGCAGCCCGAGCGTCTGTGCGCCGACCGGTGCGTGGACTGAAACACACGGAGAGTATGCAGCCTGCCAAGGAGGGCGTTCGGGACCTGCGACCAGGCCCCGATGAAGCTACGCTCAGTGAGACGAGCCAGACAGGGAGGACACATCCTGCAGGTCCACGTGCAGGAGACCCCGGGGTGGCAGGCTCAGAAGGCAGGATGGTGGTGCCAGGGGCTGGGGGAGGGATGGAGTGAGTGTTTCATGGGGACAGAGTTTCAATTGGGAAGAAGGAAAGTTCTCGAGATGATGGTGGTGGTGACTGCACAGTAACGTGAACGTATTTAATGCCACTGAGCCGTACACTTAAAAACGGCCACAGTGTGCGAGTTTACATTATGTGTGCGTTACACAAAGGACGGACAGAGCGGCCTCATGATTTTTTTTTTTTTTGTCAGAGAGGAAGGGAGAGGGAGAGGGAGATAGAAACATCAATGATGAGAGAGAATCATGGATCAGCTGCCTCCTGCATGCCCCACACTGGGATCTAGCCCGCAACCGGGGCAAGTGCCTTGACTGGGAATCAAACTGTGACCTTCTGGTTCATAGGCCAACGCTCAACCACTGATCCACCCAGGCCGGGCCAGCACAACGCAGACACACTGGGTCTTGAGAGTGTGGCTCTGGCCACTGGGCACAGGGCACCACCAAGGGCGTTGCCTCACCCAGCAGTCACATCTTAAAATCAGCCAGACACGGTACACTGAAAAATATTCCTTTGAAAACCAACAACCTCTCCTGGGAAGTGTGAAAAAACTGTCTTTTAAAACCACTGGAACAGAGGCCAGGAATACAGGCCTTTCTGAACCTTTTCTCCTCACTTGTAACACCTGAGCAGCTCTTTTCTCCTCTTCCCCAAAGAGCCTTGGGTTTGGGTCTAGCAACTCAAAAAGTATCAATGGGCTCCAAGCTGCTGGACATTCCAACTCATGACTCCGAGGGCCGGGGGAGCACACGGCTCCTGCCCCACTCCTGCAGGCTCATCCCCGCACCACCGTACCCCCCGCCCCCGGACTCAAGGCCGAGGGAGAAAAGCCCACGCAAGAAACTAAAATCCCCACTCATCCCCACGGAGGGAGGACTCAGCCCCACAGGAGGAAACGGCTTCCCCAGAATGGGCGGCACCTGCAGACCCACCCTCAGGGAGACGCAGGTGGGTCTGCCAGAGGCCCCGGGCAGGGGCAGAGCTTACAGCCCAGGAGCCGGGACAGCGAGCTCTGCTTCTGGTGGGAACACAGCTTCCTTAACAGCCCACGGCAGGAACCGACCAGGTGGCTGGGGTTTAAATGGAAACAGGTTCTAATGCTTCAGCAAGTAAAGCTGAGGGAAGGCCTCCATCCCCACTCCGGAAGGTTCCAAGACACAAGCACAAGAGATTCAGAGGCCCCTGGGCCCGGCTGAGTGGTGACCAAGGAAACACCGCCGCCACCACCACCGTGACCAGCCCGAGAGCAGCGCTCCCCTCCTTCTCGACGTGGACAACAACGGGCACGAAGAAAGCGCCCTCGTCAGCACCCCAGCCCTGACCGCACCCGCCGGGCCGACCCGCACACTCAGACCGGAGCCCTCGCGGAAGGACGTGCGCTCGGGTGCAAGCGGCTCTGCTCCAGCTGGGAAGTGGGGCCTGCAGAGCGGCCGGCATGCGGGAACCTCCGTGAAGCTGCAAGTCCTGGCCCCGCCCCAGCGTGTCTCTCAACTCCCAGAACAAAGATGACTGTGTGCACCAGGCTGAGGGAGACTCCCAGGTCCCCAGTCCTGCCACAGCGGCTCCTGCCAGTAGCCACCCGGGCTCCCCGGGTAAAGCGCACTCGCGTGCCGGAGGAGGGCCGGCCAAGGCGCACGTACCAGCCGACCTGTTCCCAGCACCTCCGCTTGCTGGGCTCGTAGGTGAGCACCGCGTCCCAGGGGTCGATCTCCGGGGTCGTGCCGTGCTCAGACTGGGAGTCGGGAGTCAAGTTGGATGCTGACTGGAACCCTTCATCTTCGGACGGATCCACACTCTGCGGCACCTGGAGACCAGGTCGAAGGAGAAAGCACCACGTGTGCCTCTGGGTCCAAGTCCCCCGTGATGGGAATTCCAGGACCTCACACATTCACGCACATAGGAAAGACCTGGCAGCGTTTGCCGTTCCTCGTGAGCACGTATGCACCGCACAGCGCTTCCGCCTCCATTACAGGATTTAAGAAATTAACTTACTGAGGTTCTCAATTTCCAATTTCACACCACATGTCAGCCTCAACGTAACTCACAGTGAAACGCATCCGCTCTGGAAGTTCCAATGGAGGGAACCGGCACAAAATCAGACTAGAGACGGAAGGCGTATGCGAACCACAACGTTCGGCGTCGTGCGTGTCGGCCAACGACCGGCTAGCACAGGCCTCGTGGTAAGGGAACGAGTGAGCAACGACAGTGCGTCTGTTCCTTCGGGGACCCTCGTAAAACCACAAAACACGCAGCCCAGTGACGGATGCCAAGGCCCAGTCACAGGTGGGAAAGGCACATAAAACTGCAGGTGCAGTCCGAGCGCACAGTCTGCCACCTGTGGCTATGGGGCCCTGAAACGTGGCTTATGTGACTGAGGAACTGAACATCTTGCACTTTAAGCGGCACCTCTGCGGGCAGAGTAACGCCCGAACAGCACGCCCTGTCGCGCCTGCTTGGGCCTGCGGCCGGCAGTGCGTCCTGGCCCGGGGGTGGGCGGCGGCGGCAGCCCGGCCTCCCACAGCTCAGCCCCCAAGTGGCCTGGACTCCCTTCGCGTGACCAAAGGGCGCCGCAGGCAGGAGGGCGGCACTCACCTTGATGGCCAGTCCAGAGAGGTCTGCGCTGTCCGGCACCGGGGGCAAGTCCAGCCGGACGTCCATGTCGTAGGTGCGACTGTGCACCAGGGCTCCGAACAGCGAGACGCGGGTGTCTCTCTCGAACCTGTCCCCGCCGGGGTCGCCGTAGGAGAAGAGCCGGGCCGTGGGCAGGCCGGCGCCCGGCGTGGCCTCCATAACCTGAAGCGCCTTCTGGATCGTGTCCTGACACAGGTACTCCTCCCGGCGGATCAGAGCCCGCACGTCCATCTCGAACGCACTCAGGTCGTAGCAGTCGTAGCCGCCGTAGGGGACGTTCCTCCCCACGTGCTTGTTGTTCAGGAAGAGGTCCCGCCGACGGGGCAGGACCTGCGGGGGCCCGGTGCCCGCCAGCTGGACCAGCAGGTCCAGGGCCGACCCCACCTCCCCCAGCGGACAGCGCGGGGCGGCTTCCAGCTTCTCCACCAGCGCCTCCAGGCGGTCGGCCTCGGGCAATGGCTAACCACCGGCTCTCGGGGGACTGTCTTGCAGTGTCACTTCCGGGCGTACATACTCCCACCCTGGCCGATTTCAGCCACAGGGTCACAGCGCTCAAGCGGGAGCTGCGAAGAGGCGCGCGATCAGCAGGGCTATGCCAGCTCCAAGACGTGCGCCCCTCTCCCCACGGAGCTCTGAGCCAGACTGTCCCCACGGCCCAAGCATTCGGCCTGGGCCTTGCTCCCAGCCTCACCCGCCACCTGCAGCATCTTCCACTGCGGCTCTAGCTGCCCCCGCAGGTGCATCAGGGCCTGCGTGTCCTCTGGGGAGGCCACGCATAAGGGGCCCAGGCTGGGGGGTGCCTCTCCGTGCAGCACCTGGGCCAGGACGCCTGCAAGCTGGGGTGTGGATTCCTGGGCCAAGGGCAGAGAGGAAAGCCAGTCACTGGCCTCTCCCCAATTCCCACCCCACAGCACATCTGCTCTGCTCAACTCACCTCATCCACAAGGGCCAAGACTCGGCACCCTGCCGGGGCCCGCAACAGTGAGGCCAGGAGCGCAGCTTGGGGGTCCCGCAGGCCATGGTCTGGCCCCAGTGCCAGGAGCACCAGGTCAGGCCGGAAGCTATAGGCCAGGGGCAGCACCAGGGCCAGGAGGAAATTCAGGAACCCGCCAGTTGTCTGTGGAGGGACGGGCGGCATGACCCCATCCCCTCATCCAGGGGACCAGGGGACACCCCTCCTGCCATCAGGATGCCGGGAAGGGTAGGTGAAGGCCAGGGGCTTGGCCCTTATGATGATACAGTCAGCAGCCACTGCCTGGCCTGGGGACACCACCACTTACCCCGGGCAGGGGCATGGAGACGTGGAACATGGACAGGGCGCCTGCCTCCTTGCCCCTGATGTTCAGCCACAGGTTCCTCCTTTCAGGGGAGAGTGGTCACATGTACACGTGTGTGTGTGAGCGAGACGCCACTCACGCTCCAGAGCCAGGACGCCAGAAGGTGAGGCGCAGGAGAGTTCAGGGATGGGGGTGCTGGAAGTGCTGACCCTCTGTGCTGGAGACCCTCTGGCCTTGTCCCAGGGCCCCCGGGGCCCACCCAGCCATCTCTCCTGGGGACCCACAGTGACATACCCACCCCCATGCAGGAACCCACGGGGCATACCCATCATCTGCCAGGTCCGATGGCCGATCCAGCTGTCCCACGGCCACACAGAGGAGCCTGGAGAAGGAGGTGGTCCCAGGACAGGCTGTACTCACCCCACTAGCAGTCCATCCCAGAGCCCTCCCACTGTGGCAGCCAGAGCAGGGGTGCCCATGGGCCACACCCTCAGAGACTCGAGCCAGCCAGCGGAGGCTCTCACCTCTGAGCTCCCCGGGAAAGGCCGCACCGAATGGCCACATCCAGAGTGGCAACTGCAGCAGAGGCCGGGGTGGCTGCGATGCCGCTGCTCACCTGCGGGGTGAACGACAGCAGTGGAGGGCAACCCCCAAAGCAGACAGACAGACCCTTCCGGCCCTTCCCTTGGTCCCAGTCTCCGTGGCCGTCATCTATACACTCTGAGGTCAAATTGCTCCACTTCTGGAAATAAGGTGCTTAAAACTGCACTTGAAATCACCGCCTTCCCCTCTCTGCCAAAGAGCACTGAGGAGGGGACTGAGGAGCGCCTGCCACCCTGTCCCTAGGGGCTCTTGTGGGAAGGGTCCTGGGCACAAGGCAACACTCACATACACACGGTTCTGCACCCCCCTAGCCCTCGCAGCCGCCCGCCCCCGCCCCCGTCCCGGGCCCTGCCCCAGCTCCACAGCCACCCCAGTCCCTCCAGGTGCCCCCACCTGCCCATCCAAGATCCTATCCAAAAGGTTCAGAACCTTCCCAAGTGCACTGGCAGCCTCGTCCTCGGCCAGGGCCTCGTGTAGGCTGCGGTAGAAAAGCAGAGGGACACAGACACAGGGCGACAGATCACAGGTGAGTCACACCAGGGTGCATGGCGGACACAGCCTCACCCCTCTCCCCAGGCCCACGCTGCCCACCTGGCCCAGGCCTGTGCCTCCTCCTTCAGGGCTGACCCCTCCTGATGGGGGACTTCAGGGGGCAGAACCAGAGCAGCGTCCAGCGAAGTCAGAGCTACAGCCGTGTGGACAGGAGGCATGGGGCAGAGGTGCAGCCGGTCCAGGAGGGAGCTCAGCGCCACCGTGGCCTGGGCCGCCGCAGCCTTGAATTCGGGCCCCTGAGACAGCAGAGGCGAGGGCCTCCCCTCTGGGGAGCGGTTGCTGGGGTTCAAGACGGGGGCCAAGTCTAGGGGGCAAGTCAGAGTCACAGGCACTTCGTGAAAGCCCAAGGCCCGATCCCACCACCCGGCCCAGCCACACTGACCTTGCTGCTGGAGGCTCGTCCAGTGAGGGATCTGGGCTGCCCGGACACTCTGGATGGACTCCAGGGCGCTGCAGGGAGAGGCAGGAGCGGTGAGGCCTGGCCGTGCACCCCCAGCCTCCCCGCCTGCAGCCCCTCGCCCCTGCAATGCGGCACCATAGGCCCTGACAGGGGCGGGGCGGGGTCCCCCAGCAGGGCCTGCACGGTCATGCACACGGACTCGGAGAGCGACTCCAGGTTGTAGCCGCCCTGGGAGGAGAGAGGAGGCAGAGGTGTCACTGGGGCAGAAGGCCCCTCCGCCTGCACCTCGGCCTCCGGTCCCTGGGCCCGCCCTGCTCCGCACAGTCACCTCCAGCATGGCGCAGACCCGGCCGCCGGCCAGCACCCGCAGCAGCTGCGTGAGGTGGGCAAAGCACTCTGGCGTGGCCTGCATCTGCCCCTGGAACCAGAGCCAGGTATGATGGGGGCCTGGCCACCGGGCACCAGAAGCCCTCCAGGTCAGGCCAGGCCCTCACCTCGGGGTCCCCGATCGCTGAGTCAAATCCTGCCGAGACCAGCACCAGCTGAGGATCAAACTGCAGGCAGGGCCGGGTGGGGAGGGAGTGAAGGGAGGCCCATCAGAGAGACCCTCCCCCGCACAGGACCTGTTCTCCCCTGATGGAGTTGGGGGGGCCCATATAGTCACCTCAAAAGCCAGGGGGAGCAGCACGTGCAGGAAGGCGGCCAGGTAGTCAGCATTTCCCATCCCCACCTGCAGCCACGGGTGTCAGAGTTGGGCCCAGCAAAGGCGAGCTGTGGGGTCTTCACCCCTCATGCCTGGCTCTGGGGGTGACCCTGGGAGGACACCCTGAACTACACTCAGGAGGCCCGGAGCTATAGGGCTGGGGATCTGGGGGGGGGCGCGGTGAAGGAGGGTGGGGTGGGTTAGGCCCCCGGAGGGTGTAGGGTGGCACCTGGTTCCAGGGCAGATTGACAGTGAAGCCGCGGCCCCGCCCCTGCCCAACAGCTACTGCGTCCGACTCCTGCAGGTAAGGCCAGAAGCGCCCGTGCTCGTAACGGTGCCAGGAGAAGTAGAGGACGCTGGAAATAACCGGCCAGGGTCAAAGTTCAGAGGTGACCCTCAGCCCCACACACAACTCTGACCCTGGAGCACACAGCTGTTACCTGGCTAGGACTCCCCGAGGCCAGGCCGTGTGCCCCGAAGCGTGGGGGCCCAGGGAAGGGTTGCACCCCCACCCCAGCTCACCTAGGGTCGTCCTCAAAGGTGTACTGGGTGCCCTGGCCGTGGTGGATGTCCCAGTCAACAATGAGGATCCTGGGGACACACAGCACAGGACTCACCGCGGGGCAGGGCCTCTGCTCCAGGCCAGGAGCCCAGCCCAAGATGGAAGGGGCTGGGTGGGGCGCCCCACCTGCGGCCGGCCCAGCACTCACCTGTGCAGCCCGTGCTTCTGCTGGGCATGTCTGGCCGCGATGGCCACATTATTGAACACGCAGAATCCGTTGGCGGCAGCCCTCTGGCTGTGGTGCCCAGGAGGCCTGAGGGTGAGAGTGGGGTGTGGGGCCTATCCAGGTCATCCTCTGCCCACACGTGGGGGCAGCCAGGGGAGAGGGACGGCTCTCACCTCACCAGGGCGAGCCCATTGTGCACAGCTCCCGTCAGCACGGCATCCACCAGCTGCAGCCCGGCCCCGGCGGCCAGCCGTGCGCTGTGGAAGGTGCTCTGTGGGGCAGAGGTGCAGGTGAGCCTCCGCCGGCTACCCCCCACAGACTCTGCCCACATCTGCGCCAGGCTGCAGGGCACTGAGTGCTCAATGGAAGGGGCCAGGACAGTCCCGGGTGCCATCCGCAGCAGCTACGCAAGGCACGGGCACGTCCATGAACA